GGGGGGACTACTGAGGGAGATGGAGACAGATTCCAGTCTGGCAGTAAGGAGCAGGCTCTCCAGAATCCAATGTTTGGGACACAGCCAGTGTCCTGAGGTTTGCTCATTTTGAAAACTCAGGAAAATCTTTAACTTGTCTGCCTCAGTTTCCTAGAAGTAAAACCAGATTGGCAGAGAAACCCTACCTTCTAGACCTGTGTATTGAATGGTTTCAGCTTTTGAAATTTTTGTTGCTGTGGAATGCTCGACAGCAGGAGATGATATATTGTTGCTATTTTATACATATATATATATATACCTATATGTATATATGTACATATGTGTATATATATACACCTATGTATGTATATATAAATGGTGCTGGTATATGGTATGCTTCTCTATCATTCTAATTTGGTTGATAGTGTCATTCATGGGGTGTCACAGTGTGGGGAGTCACTGACTGTTGAGGAAGGCGTAGGTGAAAAACTCCTTTGGAAAGTTGTGTTCTCTTGGAAGCTAATCTATATGCCCATTGAGTTTGACAAAAAAAAAATTAATACTTTATGAAAACTGGGCCACAATAGAACTTAAGTGTTTTTATTTTGTTGAGGTGTGAGTCTACAGATTAGATGGACCTTAGGTTAATTTCAAAATGAGTGGTTATTTTATGGGAATTTTTCCCAGATGGGACAGAATGTCTCACTCTGTGACTGGTCAGACATTGTCATGTTGTTTTTGGTATTGAAGGTCATGTCTTCAACCTTCATCATGATTGCTAGAACCCACAAAACAGTACGGGAAGCAATTGCTGGAAGCAGCTGGGTTGGATGTTCAGTTTTATTGACATTTTCTTTTTCATGGATTTCCTCTATTTCAGTTTTTAACTCAGCAGCAAATGAAGATTTTACAGATGGCTATAGTGGATCATGAAACCAAGCTTGAAAATGCGAAAGATATGTGTGACACATTTTTGAAGGTCTGGTAGATTCCACTTTTGAACAGAACACATCCTTATGTCACACCCTGTGTCTATAAAAGCAGGAGACAGAATGGCCCTTTCTCAATTTGTGGGAAAAGTAATTAGCTTTGAAATCGGTGATCACATTCTCTTTGGAATATTTTCCCCCCACGTAAGAAAACGACTAGGTTTTGTTTAGCCCGGGAAACTGCTGATCTTTAGTGGGAGAGCGTTCTAGCATGGGAGCTGCTGACTGGAAATTTGCTCTCTGGATCTCCCTCTGCTCCTTCTCCCAAGCTTCTGTACTTCCCTAGACCTCATCTCTGAGGAGTTGTGGTCCTGAAACAGGGCCTTTCCCTCTTCCATATTCCCCAGTGGCCTTCCTTCTTAATTCTCCCTCTTTCTCTTGTCCTCTGCAATCACCCCTCCTCCAAAAGCTCCACTGGCTGCTTCTGTCCTGTCTTCCCTCCTCCTCGTGCAACAGCTTCCCCCGAAGAAGTGACTCTTGTTCCCTGTCCATGCTTTGCTTCTGCTCTTGGCCCAAATAGATCCATGCGCCTTGTCTTCCCTATGGAAATCCTATGTTTTCAGCACTGGAAGTCACCATGTGTGTCCTCTTCAGTCACATAGGCAGCAGGCTCCCCTGCCACACCCGTTTTCAGCCTGTGTAGGTGTCTTATGGTCTTAAACTCCTGGCCCTAGGAATAGGGCAGAGACTGGACAGGCATTTTCCGGTTTATGGACAGATAGTGACACAGTTCTTTCTCCTCTGTATCCACCACTGCAGTGCTCCTTGAGAGATGATCAGAGGGGATCGGCAAGTCCTCACTCCAGCTTTTCGTAGCTTAAAAGGGCATGTGATTGCATGCTCTGTCTTCTCTGTGAAAATTGCGTTCCATTTTCACAGTGCCACAGTGAATGAATGGCTCCATCCCCTGGGAAACCTTGGGGGTCTCCAGCACATGCCTGGGCCTCTTTTTCCATGTCTGCTCTGTGCAGCCTTTACCTGCTCATCTGTCCATTTTCTGAGATAAATGGCTTAGGTGTTATCTTCTCACAATGATACTGAGCTCAAATATGGCACTGCAACTTTTTTTTTGTGTGTGGAGAGTTCATTTAGATACACAAGAAGTAGCCACTGTTCTTACTTTGATTCCCAGCAAGGATCCTTTGGATATGCAAAGTCGGTACTTTTTAAATTAAATGAGGTGAGGTGTCAGGTCAGGGCTTTGGGCTCAAGTAGCTTCTTTTGTTGTTTGTTTCAGAAAGCCAACGACTTGAGTAAACATCGCAAAACCTTTATTGGTGGTCAGCAAACTAATGTGGAGAAGGAAATCTCCAAGGTGCAGGACAGAGTTATCATGGAAACTGTAAGTCGTGTGTCTGTAACACTTTGTACCTTGGGCTGGCTTCCTATTAGCAGAGATGTAATGAAGACCCTCTAAATCTCCATTTTTTTCAAACAGCAAGAACAAGATGTATCCGTTGTTGAAACATACCTTCAGTCCCTGATCCTTGACCGCTCTGAAGAAACCATCTGAAGCTCGCACATAGGATGCACAGGGAAGGGAGATTAGCCACGCTAAGAAGACATTAGTAGTAGTCAGTGCAGCTCCTTTCTCTTTACCCCGTTTGTTACAATTGAGACTGAGACTGTTAACCATTAAGTGAACCCCCAGCAGTTCTGTGAGTAGCAACAGACAGTTAAGTGTGGAACGTCCAGGCCCATGACAGCAAGGGAGATAGATACATTCTGCCCAGTAGTGGCAGTTACATTTTGGAAGCAAACGTCATTTGATTTTGTGGTTGGTTCTCTGTCACTTCCCCAAAGTGAATGTTACCTTACTTATTTTAGGAAGAAGTGAATAAAGATGGGACCCGTTTTGCTGTGCATGCTTTCATTTATTCATGAGGTCACAGAGCCAGTTCCATTGCACTTGGAAAATCAACCCAACATGCCACTGAGACTTGCTGAACACACTCATGTTTGTGTGCTCAGATGTGTTAAACTGTTAACACGATTCCCACAGCAGAGCCAGATCCTAATGTGTTGGGTCTGTGCTAGTTGAGGGGCTGTGGCATTTCCCAAAGACACCCAGACTCTTTTCAAAGCTGTCTTCAACACTGGTTGAGAGAATCCTGCCCTTACCTTTGGTTGAAAGCATTCTCTCAACATGTATCTGTGTAAGCATTTGTGTTTCCAGTGTTTTGGATGAATGTTTACAAGAGCATTTTCTAGGGTTCTCCTAAGAGAGTTTAATATTCATCAAGTCCTTCTACCTCTATGTGTGTGTTTGTCTAACTCCAGAGTCATTCTCTTACCCTTGTCCTGTGGTATACTTATTAAAGCGAATGCTTAGAATATGTGTTTAGTACATTTGAGATTTTTTTTAAGTGCGTGTACTTATTGAATCTTCATGAGCATATTCTGAGTGTGTGTTGGTGCCCATGAAGACCAGAAGAAGGGTTCAGTTCCCTTGGGGCTTGAGTTACAAGTAGCCTTGAGCTACTCCAAGTAGGTGATGCTACCTGAACTTGTGTCTTCTGGAACAGCAGCAAGTGAGTTCAACTGTTGAGTCATCTGTCCAGCGCTGTTCAACACACTTAAATTGCTTCATCCTTTACCTGGAGTTTATGTGCTAAATTTGTTTGTTTGTTTTGTATATATTACTGAACATGATTTTGTGGTATATAGGAGAGTACCATAGTGGAAGCCCTCCAGAGGACAGGGCCTGCCAATTGTACAGGGTATCATACCACAGCCACCAGGAATGAGCCAATTCTCAGTGACCATGTCTTCAGTTCAATCTGTCTTGAACTTAGTGAAGCCCTACATCTTTGAGATATGGATATAGAGGGTAGAGGTGGGGAGGAAAAAGAACTCAGTGAGGAGGACCAGGGCAAGAAAGTGTGAGGAAGGTGCTTAATAACATGACTTACCTTCTGGCAACCAGACATCTTGAACTTGGCTTCACCTAGGGCCTCAATATTGTGTTCCTTATTCTGAAGGATGATTCAGGTGGACTTGACTCCACAAATGTGAATCCTGTCCACTCTGACCTGAGGATTTCCTGAGGCATCATGTGTACCTGTCTGGACCCTAGATTGGGGACAGCATGGAAATCAGAGACTTGAAATAATGCCAGAAAATTGTCTCCAAGTTCCCTTAGGGCAATCCATATAGGTAACAGTGAATTCACCCCCAAGGAGCCTACTGTTTGCATCCATTGCAACAGAGTGAATTCATCTCCAAGGAGCCTGCTGTTTGCAACCATTCATTGCACAGCAAGACTTGTAAGACTCCATGAGGAAAGAGACCTACCTGGTCAGCTTAATCTTATACAGATTTACCATACTTTTTAAGACACAGCCTCTCAGTGAATATGAAACTAACTGATTTGGTCAAGCTGAGTGGCCAGAGAGCTTTGGGGATGGATCCACCAGTCTCTGTCCTTCATCCTAAACATGTTGGCTTTGGGTTTTAAGAGTGATCAAGAAAGTACCAAGAAAGCTGCCCAGGGAGCAATGATTCTAGCAGTTAAGGGTTCCAGAGACTATTTTGACACTCAAGATACCAGTTTCAGATACGCCACTGATGACTATCAATGATGGACAAATTGGGCTTTCACTCTGAAACCCCTTATGGGGTAATAAAAAACGAAGATGGTAAATTAATTCTCCCACAAGAAGAAGGTAAGAAATATGTCACTAATCTGCACTAGCTGACCCATCTGGGAGCCAAGAAGTTAAAAGATATGGTAAGATCCTCTGAATATAATATTATAGGACTGTCTGATTTGGCAGAAGCCGTGGTAAAAAAAAAAAACTGTAAAACTTGTGCCTTAACCAATGCAAGACCTTCCATGTATACCATGGGAAAGAGACTGAGGGGCAACCGCCCTGGAGCTTACTGGGAGGTGGACTTCACAGAAGTCAAACCGGCAAAATATGGAAATAAATATCTTTTAGTTTTTATAGACACCTTTTCAGGATGGGTCGAAGCCTTCCCCACTAAAAGTGAAACTGCCAATGTGGTGGCTAAGAAGATCCTGGAGGAGATCTTTCCAAGGTTTGGAATACCCAAGGTAATTGGGTCTGAAAATGGTCCTGCCTTCATTGCCCAGGTGAGTCAGGGACTGGCCACACAGCTGGGGATTAATTGGAAATTACATTGTGTTTATAGACCCCAGAATTCAGGGCAGGTAGAGAAGATAAATAGAACCATTAAGGAGACCTTAACCAAATTAGCGTTGGAGACTGGTGGTAATGACTGGACAGCCCTCCTTCCCTTCACCTTGTTCCAAGTTCGGAATGCTCCAGGATGATTTAAGCATACCCCCTTTGAGATCTTGTGTGGGGGACCACCACCACTTACTGAGGTGGGCAGAGTATATGATCCTGATGCTGTCCTTTCTAAATCTTTGTTCACCCGCATGAAAGCACTTGAGGTGGTCTGGCCAATGTCTGGGAACAACTGAAAGGGTCATATGAGACCGGAGACATAGGAAACTTGTACTGCTCTGCTTGGGGATGTGAAACTACAGGAGAGGCCTACTGGAAACCCAGTTCCTCTTGGGATCATAGTACATAAAAACTATACTTCCCCAGCGAGGTGCTCAGAAAGGAGTGCAGGGGTCTATGACACCAGCCCCACATGCTTGACTCTAAACATTACTTTTACTGACCAAGGATGAACCAAAGACATATCAAAGTAGCTGAAAGGAAGGATATGGGGTCTCTGGTGATATTTACCGGACAGACTACTTAAATCTGACTTGGGTGCTGCCTTTACAATTCAGTTAAAAATAGAGAGTCCTCTTGCTCAGCCCATAGGTCCCAACAAGTTGTTATCTGAACAAAGATCCCTTGCCCCTGTTGCTCCAGTAGCCCCTCCAAAGCCATCAGAGAACGCCCCCCCCTACCGAATACCCCCCAAGTTTATCCTAACCTCAACTCCCCCTTTCCCGAGTACTGGGCAGAGGTTGCTAAATCTGATTCAAGGGGCTAAATCTGATTCAATCTGATTTTATGGTGTTAAATGGGTCCAGACCTAATATGACAGAGTCTTGTTGGCTTTGCCTCTCCTCAGGACTCCCTTATTATGAAGGTGTTATAGTGACTGGGACCTTTAATGATACTACCAGCCATAATGCCTGTGTCTGGAACAGCAAAAATAAGCTGACCTTAACTGAGGTCTCAGGACAAGGGACCTGTCTAGGAACCCCACCAGCTGCTTATTAACATCTATGTAATGAGACTCTTAAGAGCCCAAAGACCTCTGTTAATGGATACTTGGTGCCTGAAATTGATAAATGGTGGGCTTGTGGTTCAGGATTAACCCCTTGTATATCCTCCTCTGTCTTTGATGAAACCAAAGACTATTGTGTACTTGTACAACTGGTTCCATGGGTTTATTATCACCCCGCTAATACCCTTGAAGATGAGTTCGAAATGCACCCAAGATGATTCCTCAGAGAGCCCATCTCTCTGACCTTGGTTGTTTTACTGGGACTTGGAGTAGCCGAAGGTGTAGGAACAGGCACAGCAGCACTAGTACAGACCCCTCATTATTTCCATGAGATGAGAGCAGCCATAGATGTGAACCTAAGGGCCTTAGAACAATCAGTGTCAAAGCTTGAGGAATCATTGACCTCCCTTTCAGAAGTGGTCCTACAAAATAGGAGGGGATTAGACTTACTGTTTTTAAAAGAAGGTAGACTATGCACTGCTTTTAGAGAAGAATGTTGTTTTTATGTAGACCATTCAGGAGTGATTAGAGATTCAATGAACAAGATTAGAGAGAGGTTAGATCAAAGACAGAAAGATAGAGAAGCACAACAAAGCTGGTTTGAAAGTTGGTTTAACCGATCCCCATGGATGACTATGATATCCTCCCACACTGGGCCGCTTTTGATTCTGCTTTTGCTCCTGACTATAGGCCCATGTGTGTAAACTAGATTAATTACCTTTATTAGAGAAAGGATAAGTGCTGTTCAGATTCAAATGCTACGCCAACAGTATCGAGATTTACCAAGCCAAGAAAATGAAGATTATGATGATACTGAAGTTTAGTTCTATGATTAGAACTAATTTACTAGAAGGAGTAGGGAATGAAAAGAATAAACCTTTTTTTGAGACCCCCTAGCATATAGAGGCTGAAGCCAGGCCATATATATTCCAGAAACTCAGCCGACCACAAAAGGGCAGAACCAAGAATGCAGGTTATCTGGTTCATAGGCTCTGGGCTCTGGGTTCCAGGAACTGGCTGACCATACAGAAAATATCAGTCATCTGGGATGTTCCAAGGACTGGCTGGACACATGATAGATGATTAAACAAGATTAAATTCTTGAAAAAATAAGTACACAGGGTGTTTCCCACATGATTGAATGAATAATAAGCTGGGGACTTTCCACTGTTTTTATGATACTGTCCACTGATGTTTTTATGATTTCCCCTCACCCCCCTGGTTTGTGTTTTTTTTTTCTTTAAATACCCTTCTCCCTCTGGCCTTGAGGTTGACACTTCTCTTGTGAGTCTCGACTTTGAAGACCCCTGCAGAGGGGAGACCCTCACTCAAGTCTCGGGATATCACAGCCACCCAGTAATTCACTCAAGACACCAAAAACTGGAGCAACAGCCGAGGTTTAATCGGGAAATGGACAGCTAGCCGTCAGTCAATTCATATGCCCACGCAGGAGCTGAATTGACAATGTCAGCCAGTTTGAGAGGGTTTTTTAAAGGGAAAAACCACAAACCAAGGAATGGGGAGAGGGGTGAGGGGTTGCTAAGGTGGCATAACATAAAAGTAGTGGAACCTTCCAAAGGAACCAACCTCCCTGAGTCAGGGTCATGTGAAAACACTCTGTACGCTATTCTTTC